GTTTGTTTTACAATAGTTCTAGAGTTCTATATCATATATAACAATAGTTCTAAAGAAATAGTTGATTTTACTGATTAAGTGCGCTTCGAGAACTTAGCGCACCTTTTTTTGAAAGTTTATTTTCTTGTATTTAATGACCGGAACTATTTAAAATTGTTGCATAGAGCTCTAGAACTTTTCAAGAGAGTGTCAGAACTCTAAAAAAAATGTCACATTTTTAAATATGGTGTGCCAAGTTCACACAAGTCTCCCTCTCCACGAAGAGATTGGAATCCCATTTTGCCAACATACCGTTGCTAATTATCGCACTCTGTTTCTCTCTGCTTACCGCACACTCGCGATAATATCGTGCAGAATTCGAAATATACAGGACGCGTTGTGCACCAGTGACCAGATTATCCGCGCCGTCGCGACGATAATTCGTAACTGGTTTGCGCACCGCGCACGATTGCGGGATATAATGCGAGAGCTCTGCAGCGATATATCGACGATATCGCCCCTAGATCCACTGGAACGATCGATATAAGTGGCACTGACGGCGCACCGGCATCCGTAGCACGCACACCCGCGTCGTAGTGCGCGCGCGCTCACGTTTCCTTGAAAAGATACATGAGTCTGTGCGAGCGTGAGCGTATGAAGCGAACTGGATGTTAATCCCGCGGGATTTGATCTCATTCCGCCTTCGGCGCAAGAAGCAGCCTCATCGCGTCGATCCCGGAGTGGATCTTTTGTTGCGTTCAACGACCATAGCGTTGTGCAACCGTTGAATAAAAATTATCCATGATTAATATATATTTTTAGATCTATCAATCACGTTCATCTTCCAAAAGTCGGTCTTTCAGATATTGTGTTTACCGAACGTAGCTATTAGGATTGTTCGCATTGCTTACACATTTGATACTTTTATATCTAATGCCCGTTGCACACTGAATATCTCTTTAGAGAGAAGAGCTGTCATTGGATTTCACTGGTCTGGTATGCAACGGGCATTAGGTGCAAGCAACACGAATAAACCTACTGGTTACGTTCAACGAATACAATGTGTAACCGTTGAGTAAAAATTATCTATAATTAGTGTATACTTTTAGATCTATCAATCATATTTATCTTCCAAAAGTTAGTCATTCAAACGTTGCGTAGCCTTTGTAGGCGCGTTGCATTTTGGGTGCCGTTCTCGAAATTTCTTAGCACGATGTTCCACTTAAAAAATGGAGTGACAAGTCATCTGTAATCGAGTAGCTTTTCACTCATGGGGTAAACTTTTTTAATATACATTCTGATTACACTGGTTAACATAAAAATTGTATCCTTAATTTAAACCATCAATTCTAATTAATTTTATAACGCTGGCCACAAATACAACAATTAAAATCAAAGCATAGTTCTCATTTCCATGATATAGTAAGCATCAATTAGAAAGGATTTCTTCAGAATCAATTCGTCGAATGACGATAACGACGCTTGCCGGCGCCTTCAGCGTAAAAGTGAGTCGGATGAACCTACAAATGACTACACTAACATAACGTTCGTAACACTTAAGTAATTAACTCATTAGCAGCCAGTGTCTCATTTATGGGACACTTCCTTTTGTTGAGAGAATACCATCACTTGATCAATATATAATTATATATATTTTTTCTGTACCTAATTCTTGGTTGTATCTGTGCTTTCAATAAAAATAAGTCCCACGCTAATCTCGAACCTTTAAGAGACATACATGATCCCTTGATTAAAATAATAAAATAGCCATGAAATAATTATGGCCTTTAATGGATTAAACACTCCGATAGGTCTTTGCGTCTCGCACATGCGAAGGAGGAACGTTTTATTATATTTTGTAATGTACTCATCGCGTAACTAGATCTATTGGAAGATTCTTGTTATCTCACCGTCTCGTTATCCGACACTCAGAGTGTATGGTGGACTGACTTCTAGGCTTACTTTCGACGACACTGTTGTTGCTAAGGGATCACGTTACATTCTCCTTGCAATCGTTGCTGCAACAACGTGACTAAATCTTCATTCGTACTCCGTGAATCAGCCCAGTCGACACCTAATTCGATTCAGTTCGATCGCGCATAAACTGGCCAACGAGAAAGCTTGCGAAAACTCACCTTGAGATAGATGGAACGTCTCCACGCGAACTCGTGACCTTTGTGCAAGGGCATGCATCTGTGACGTCATTGGTCCAGCATACTGCTTTTCTACGATTGGCCGCGGAGACGCGCAGCGCATACACGCATACACGTGCGCACGTATATTCAAATGTTCATTCGGTCTTGCTCGTGGCCTTTACGACGTGTAAATCACGAATCCGAGACGCCGAAGGTCCCAACAACTCCAGCACCGCCGCGCTGTTAAAATGTCCCCGAATGTTTTTACGACAGACGCGGGGTCCTCCCCAAGAGGATACGGTGAATTCAATCGAACGAGCGTGGCTCTTGAATTTTAGAAGCCTCTTCCGTGCGTGTACGCGCGCACGCACCGCCATCCCGCGCCGACAGCACGTTGTGCGGACGCGCGTGTACGCTCGATGTTACGACGACGATCGTTCCTCGACAGCGAGCTGTAAAATTATGCAGAGAGAGGAAGAAGCGCTGAGAGTGACGCGTTACGAAATCTTGTGTATGTGTGTGTGAATGAGATCTTGTAAATTATTTATATTATTTACATACACTACTCAAAAGAAATGTGCCATCAAAAATTATAGGTGAAATTTGAATGAATATTATTCCGTAAAATATTATCGTACGAATATATTTTTTATAATTTCAAAGATGAAGTACTCTACTCAGTAAAGAGCTATTGTTAGGTTTTTGTTTTATATATTCACATATACATAAACGAGTAAGTGTTCGCGTAAATGTTGAATGTGTGAAAATTGAATTTTGGAGTTTAATATTAGATATTTATGAAAGTTTTGGAAGACTATTAGTCAATCTACAAGAATTCGAAGAAATATTAATCCAAATCTGGAATGAAATAACGGCCTACATTGATATACACGAATGACTAAAAGAAATAAGAAAAAATGAATACTGATTTTATAAGAGAGAGAGAGAGAGAGAATATCCGATATTAAAACTCCTAAAACTCAATTTTACACATTTAGCACTTACGCAAATTTACATATTTACACATAATTTAATGCATTACATATAAACATATATTACATTAAATATAATGTGCAAAATCTGACTGGCAACCTACTCGCAGTGCGCATTGGGTAATATCAATGACGGCAACAGGTTATGATTTCATTTAAAATAACGGATAACTTTAGAGTATGGTATATGTCTTTATACGAAATAAAAATCGTACACATAATTTCTTTTTTTTTTGTTGAAAGGAAAATCCAATCTTTCTGGTCCCGTAAATGAAAGTCACAAAAAAAATTTTTGCCATTTCTATAGATCTCACTGAGTATACAAATTTTTACCATAAAAATGATTTTATAGCTAAAAATACAGTATCGTTCAAAAGTTTGAGACCACTAATAAAAATGTTTATCAAGAATAATTATTTCGGTGATAATCCAAATAGTTACTCTTGATAAATATTTTTATCAGTGATCTGAAGTTTGTGACCAGTATTTAGTTGAAACCGATGCAGCAGCAACAGTAGTAAAAGCTTTAGTTACAGTAACAAATACATTTTCAGCAAACCGTGATTAGCTGCGTTTCACTAAAATCTTTTTTTCCGTGCGGGTATTCGGGTACTTGAGCATCCGAATATCCAGCTATTTATTCTTATTATTATTCTTTCTTACTTATTCTTCAAGTCATCGTGAAACCTCGAGTAATCGAGCGCTAAAAATAAAAGAAGGCACGTCAGAGGCAAGGGCTGTCGATCGGAGGACGAGTGATCATCCGGTGAAAAGAGAGAACACGCCCGGTAGTCGTGCGCGATCGGGATCATTTCGCGGCGCAACGCGGAACACGCACGAAATACTTTCGCACGGCGAAACATATTTTTATAGACGACGGCGCGAACGGCGCGAGAAAAAGCGAACAACGCGAGAGCGATCCCGAGAGGGCGCGCGGCGGGACGGATGCGAGAGGACGTGCTCGAAAGAAAGCACGGAGGAATAAAGTAAAAGAAGGACGGAATGGGGGGAGAGACGGTGGCAGAATATAAGCGTGCTGCGGTAGCCTCGAATCCTTTCGCGGCGAAAGGCGATTACGTCAAATCATCCCGTGCAACGATTCGCGCGCGGCGATCGCCGCGGTTCTCGTGCACGGCCGAAGTAGGTGTGCGACTCGTACATGAAAGAAATCGGTCTCTTATAAGTCCCTGCCAGAACCTAATCCCGCCCCGGGCTCCATAAAGCTCCTTTATGACGGTACATTATTTTAAAATTCGTAATATCCCCGTCTTTGTCTCTTTATCGTCAAAACTTAGAATGCGAGGCGAATTAAGTAACATATTCGAAGCGCTTCAAGATATTTCTCGTAGTTACGTAGAGATTTTGTTTCACGGAAGTATCGAGTTATATTTCTTTTCATGTACGCGGATTATGATTTATGTAAACGTCGCGAACGTTTTAAGAGAAGTCTAAATTTAATCACACAAGTATAAATAAGTTTCCAAATGCAATCATACGAGTACAAATAAACTTTGCGCGGAAATATGTCATTTCACGCAACGTGAAAGCAGTAAAAAAAGTCAACTTGCCTTTAATAGAAAAAAATCGGGAAAAACTTTGCAAATTTGTCGAAACACAATATTTTGATATTACTTCGTAATATAAATTCGCGATGTAAATTCGATGCAATAAATAATCTGCGGATCAATCAGGGGGGATAAGAGTGGAGCCTCGTTGGGCGAGACTATAGCTGAAGGAAGATTCAACGATTTTAATCCCTGCTGATGTCCCCCTGTGCTCTCTCTCTCGTTCTCTCTCTTTCTTTCTCCTACTCTGTCTTTCTTTCTCTCTGTCGAGTCGTAAGCCTCTCGTGCTCCCTCTTTGTGCCACTTTTTTTTTATTTCGATCTTTTCCTTTTGCTCGGCTCTCCCTCTCGTCTCTTCATCTTCTCCTTCTTTTTCTATCCTTCTTTGTCCCTCTTTCTCCACCCTTCCTCTCTTTCTTTTTATCCGTATTTTCTTCCGAATGCTATTACGCGCTGCTGCTACCGCACTGAACACAACTACCGATCGGCTCTCTACCCACGAGATGTGGAACGGGGAGAACTTACAATTAGGCAATTTAAATCAACCATTCTGATCCTTACGGTGACGCCAATTATCATATTTCATATTACCCTTGGACGTAGGGATAAAAAAAGGACTACAGTACTTCTCTTTTCTCCCCCCCCCCCCTCTTTCTCTCTCTCTCTCTCTCTTCTTTTTTCGCATTACACGTAGAAAGTGGTTGTTCACACCATCATGCTATATCTTGCCGTACTATATATTACTATACCGTACGGTATAAGCGACGTCGAGCACAGCACACGATGAGGACGCGGGAGAAGAGGGACAGAGAGGAAAGAGAGAAAGAGTAACGCGGTTTCGCCTCTTCTGCCAGTTCTGCTTTTTTCTTCCTCTCTTCTTCCCTCTTCTTTACCTCTCTCGTACTCTTCAGGGACGTATCGAGCGAAGCGATGAGCAAATATCATTGCACATACATACATTTACAATATATTTACAAACGTACACTTACAATCTTCGTTGTACAT